ATATATATATATATATATATATATATATATATATATATTCTCTATATCTAAATATTTTCTCAGTATCGAATATACTAATTTTTTTTATATAAAAAATTATCTTTTGTTTCTATATTTTCTTTTTTACATTTTTGTTATAATGATTGAGATATTTGATCCATTTGGATAGCCAAGATATATTCGATCTTGTATAATTGGTGTGCTTCTAAAAATAATAATATAATTTTATTGATTTTGTCTCTTATCTATAATTATTTATATAACTGGTTTTCAACATATATTATTTTACATGGAAATAATAAAGAAAAAGGAAAAGAGAAAGAAAACTATGAAGCTTGGACCAAGGAGGATTCCGATGAATTGTTACAATTGATAGTGAATACTATAAAAAGATGATAGAATATTATGGAGAATTATTATTATTATTTATCTAGACATTATTGCTTTTTTAATTATTTTTATCTTTGACTCTTTTTAAATTTGAATGTATGAATTTTTTTTTAAATCTTATCAAATGTCAAAACTCCACAAAATCCCACAGAATCCATTAAAATCCTGATTTAAAAGTCTTGTAGAATCCATTAAAATCCTAATTTTAAATCTTGTAGAATCCTGCAAAATCTTAAAAGTCGTGAAAATACTGCAAAGTCTTTTAAAATCCGCAGGATTTTTTTTCACTAAAAAAGTCCTTTAAAATCCTAATCCAATACACCCCCCTAAATATTTAATCTCCAAGTGATTAAGATTAGATACTTGTACCTGATCCAACAATTATACGTAAAAAAATTGTCCAAAATCAATAAAAAATAATAAATGAAATGAATTTTGTTAAAAACTTATAAATGCAGATGTAGATAAGAAGGATACAATAGACTCGGTTGTCTATTAAAATAACCTTGACATTTGCATCAATATTTATTTACTTTTTTGTAAATAAATAGTGCAACTTTTCAATTGTTTTTTTTTTGTTGAAAATAAAGTGAGTAATTTTTAGACCTACTAATTACTTATAAAAATAAATAATTTAAGGTAATTTTAATATAAATTAACATAAAGAAAGAAATAGTTGTTTTATATACATAATTTAAAAGTAGTATTTTTTATATATAATTTATTTTAAATTTTAGTTATATATTATAAATATTTACCATACATTACAAAACTAAAATACTAGTTATATAAAAATAAGTAAATTTATATATTAACTCTATATATGAATCATAATAAATTAAATTAATTATAACTTAAATTTTTTAAATAATTAAAATTATTTTGTATTTAAAAAAACATAAAATTTATGTAAACCAAAACAATACGAATGATCATTAAATTGATGAATATCGATTACTTTAAAATTTTGATTTTTTTCAATTAATATAAATGGGATTTTATAAAAATTAAAATTTAATATCTTATCCCACACGATGAAGAGCGCCTGCAATAAACGGTGGCGTTTGAGGTTGCGCGGGTTGGAACCAATTCAAATTCTGAGAAGCCTGGTGGGGTCCGAAAATGGGCGAAAACCGAAAACGAGAATGGTCCCTGAGCGACTTCGAGATCGGGAAGCCTCTGGGCAAAGGGAAATTCGGCAGAGTGTACGTGGCCAGAGAAGTGAAGGTTTGATTTCCCTCTGAAATTTCAAATATTAGGTTTTGAATTGGGTTTATGAATTTGCAAGTTATTTGTGGGCAGAGCAAATTTGTGGTTGCATTGAAAGTTATTTTCAAGGAACAGCTGGAGAAGTACAGAATTCATCATCAAGTGAGGAGGGAGATGGAGATTCAGATGAGTCTTCAGCATCCCAACGTTCTTCGTCTCTATGGTTGGTTTCATGACTCTGAGCGCGTCTTTTTGATTCTCGAATATGCTCACAATGGCGAGCTTTACAAGGAACTCAGCAAAAAGGGTCACTTTAGTGAGAACCAAGCTGCCACGGTAATCCTTTCTTACTCTCAATGTCTTCCTATCTTCCATTATCTTCACTCTTATCTTTCTTTCCTTTTTTACTTTTAGTATATTTTAAGCCTTACAAAGGCTTTGGCATATTGTCACCAGAAGCATGTTATTCACAGAGATATCAAGCCTGAAAACTTGTTGCTCGACCATCAGGTATGCCTTTTCTTCTTCCTTTCCCCTTTGCTATTTTGTTTCAGTTAGTTTCATAATCCCTTGCTTTCAGGGTCGTCTTAAGATCGCAGACTTTGGTTGGTCAGTACAATCAAGAAGCAAAAGGCATACCATGTGTGGAACCTTGGATTATTTAGCACCCGAAATGGTAGAAAACAAAGCTCATGATTACGCAGTTGATAACTGGACTCTGGGTATCCTTTGTTATGAGTTCCTTTATGGTGCTCCTCCATTTGAGGCTGAGACTCAATCTGATACCTTCAAAAGGTATGTTAGTGCATGAGACTTGTGTATGCAGAGTAGTTTATCACAACATAAATGTCCCTTTTACAATGAATTTATATTTGTTCAGGATAATGAAGGTTGACCTAAGCTTCCCTTCCACTCCTTTTGTTTCTTCAGAAGCCAAACATCTTATTAGTCGGGTAAGTTCGTTCTTATCTACATATTCATATGCTTGCAAAAACATATCATTTTAGAGAAGAGAATAATAGATTAGGTCCTTCTTCTAACTGCATTATGTTAATTGATGCAGCTTCTGGTAAAAGACTCTTCACAAAGACTCTCACTTCAGAGGATAATGGAACATCCTTGGATAATCAAGAATGCAAATCCCATGGGTGTCTGCAATTAGTATCGACTGTTTACCTGTGGAACAAAAGGATCAGAGCTGAATTTTACATCTGATATTGCAATGTGATGAAATGTTTGCTTTTTGTTTAAATACTAAAGTATTATAATCACCGTTTGAGCTGCATGTCCAAAATCTGATTCTTCCCCTTCTGATGTCATTGCGCTGAAGAGGCCATTGACTTTCTAGCACTTGCCTTTTCATTTAATTTAAACCTTTTGTTGTTGATATTAATTTTGATTTCTAAATTCTAATAATTTATGATAATTGTAATTAATACATTGTAATTCAGCCTGTCTTTAGAATTTGCCCAAAAAAATCAAGGATATATATATGAATAATTAAAGGATTTTTTTTAAAAAAAATTTATGAATAACAGTCAAGGAACATGCTTCAATAAAGTTGTGTTAATAGTAATTTAATTTTTTAAAATTTTAATAAAGAACTAATCAGAGTCGTTAAATGATTAAACAATATTTAGAAAAAGTTAATCATCTGTATATTATCAGTGTAAATTTTTTTTACACTGACAACTAATTATATCTTTTAATTGTGTCATGTCACTGTAAACACATCTACTTTTAACAGTGACATGACACAATTAAAAGATATAACTAGTTGTCAGTGTAAAAAAACTTTACACTGACAGTGTATAAGTGATTAACTCATTTATAAATTTACTTTTCCATCTAACTAACTTTAAAAGATTCAAATTCCTTTTTATTTTTTATCTATATTTTTATGACTTCTTTTATAAAAAAAATAGATATAGTTTTTTTTTT